AATTAAAGATAAAAAAATTTTTATAAAAAAAAATTCTAAAAAAATTCTATTCTTTTTAAAAAAAAAAAAAAAAAGAAAAAAAAGAAAAAAGAAAAAAAACTATAAAATGAGATAAATTTTTATGACAAATTGGCATATATATATAGATTTTTACAACACGTGTATATATATATATATATATATATGAGAAATTTTAGTTATCTTTCTGATATATATTATGTATTGAAAATGTTTTTCCTCGGTTGATGATGTTTTTATACATAATTGAAAAGTGTGTGAAAATATATAATTTATAAATATAGTTGAATAATAATTTATAAATAATGAATATTACTTTTTTCTATTTTTTAACAGAGTGTTGCAAGCATTATCATATTTTTATTGAATAAAAAATGAATATTTTTGATATTATCAGTGTTCTAGAATCGATTTGCAGTTATTGAATTCATAATGAATTCATAAATTAGTGTAGATAAAATTTGTCTTCCTGCTATTTCTCATAATGGCAGAATGCGAAAACTAGCGAGATTTTTATATGAAATTGATGCTGAATGATTATACTTAATTATGACAATATTGCAGGGTAAACGAATGTTTTCTAATCTATTGTTAAATGTTGGTAGTTTTACATAAACAACGATTTATATCTTTATATTTGCATGCAAATAATTTAGACTTACTATCTATTTTATTGTACAGATTTCGTTACAATATATTACCATGTAAAATAAATTATACCTACATATATCTGCTAGATAATAATCTTGATATTTATTTTTTCGCACCCGAGACCAGATACTTAAATAGAAAAAAAACTTCTTTTAATTTTGCTAAGTAATATTTTAATTGTACTCGTTTATAAATATCTACAGCTTCCTTTTTCCTAAAACTTTTTCTAGTCTATCTATTCCATCTCAATCCGAGTATATTGCGCGCCTAAAAGAAAAGTATACTATATATGCAGAATCCATATCAAAGATTGCTCAATTTCAATTACAAATTTTTTAATTTAAGAATAAATAAATTTTAATTTCTAACTTTTAATGTGATATATTATAAAAAATAAATGCCAGGAAATATATTTACCGTTACGAAAACAGCAGTCGCCGTCTCTGTAACACGACTTAAAGCTTCATCTGGTGATGGCTTGGCAGAATTCGAAAGCACCATGTACACTTGTAAAGCATCATTTATTCGTCTGTCTAAGAATAGCCAAGTCTCTTTGTGATCTTCACTAGTATCTCGCAGCATGTACAACTCAGTGGCCTTGTAAATGGTCGCTAATATTATTCTCCTGGTATACCAGTTCATCTAATCAAAGTAATGTGTTGTATTTAAACAGCACTTCTAAACAATGTTTTATTTTCCTAACAGATAAATGTCAGCGATACGACTTACATCGACGGACCTGTCGCCAGCATAATAGCAGATATCGTCGACTAAAGTTAATAAATTCGCTAAAGCAGTCGGTACGTTTGGTGGTAAAGTCATAATAGCTAATGCCTGCGGCCAAGTCTTTTTATAGGGAATCACCATTCTTAACCGTGTCTCCACGGCATCTCGAATTTGCACTTCTGGCGCCTTCCGTGGACTCGAAGGATCCGCTTCAATGGCTAACGTTTCTTTTTCTAGCATCTGATTCAATTCGCGATTGCACATAGAATAAAAATGCTGCACTAAAGCTGCACCACCGTTTGGAAAGAGTCCGTGTGTTACGCCCGGATATCCGATCGACTCGGCACCTTTGGCATCATAATTTTCAATTATATCATGTTATTTCATTTTTATGTTAAAAGGATACACAAAGTGGCAAAGTATTAATATTATACAAACTTATATTATTGAATATAAAATATGAAATATATTTCTAACATCTATTTTGGAAATTTTTTTTTTTTTTTTGTGTAAGCGTTTCAAGTATTTTTCCGTCTAAAAAGCTTTTTAATCTAACTTACTGATCAATATTATAAGTATATTATCAATATATTGATAACTAATCTTTCAAAATGGATAAGATAACACATAAAAAGAATCTTAAATCGTATTACCAGCACTGATAGCCTGTTTGCTCCATCCCATATCAGGAACAAATTTTAGAGAGGCACCAAGGATTTTTGTTTCAATATTTTTCTCATATTCCTCATCACTCTCCTCGTGTATAGACTGTTGCGGTCCTGTCTTTTTGTCACTATCATTTTCAGATTGATCGGCCAGCAAAGCCCTGGAAGTCCATAAACGTCTAAAACCTAGTAAAATCAATATCTACCTTTAAAATTATCTACATATTAAATATAGTATATATGTAATGTTTTATATTATAACATATATATAAAGATTTATTTCAATCACATAACAGACATTAAGATATTAATCAATAAAACAAGTGTATTAAAAAATATTTTTTTATTAAATCTTACATAATTTACAACTTTAATAGCAAAAAAATTTATGTTTAATTATATATATATATATGGCTCATACCATAAAATTAGCAATATACCATTATTAATTATGATAATCTTGATTGGTTTCATACTTTTACTCCGCTATAGTATACAATGGGAATTCTTTGTCAGTATCTATACATTCATTAACCCGGATAAGAATACTTTCCATTACATCCAAACCATTTATCGCTTGGTAACAGAAAGAAATTTTTTCTGGGAGTGGCATTACTGGTAATTGTTCACCACCAATGGTCAACGTGACTTCCGCGTGGGCCTTCTTCATCTCATTATAATTGTGTATTTTATTATAATCCTTTTTTTGTTGCTCCAAGTCTTTTATCTTCACTTTCCAATGCACTCTACATAAATCTATTCCCTCTCTCAAGGGATTCAAATAATCATTTTTTAGCACATTTGTAATACTCCAAATACCCGTTTCATTGTGTTTATCTCTGATAAACAAGAATCTCAGTAAGTTCAGTGCAGTAATAACTTCGTCCGATATCTCCACTAAATCCGTCGAACTTCTGTATGGCAAATTACAAATCTTTTTCAATATCAACTCCAAATTCTTTCCTAGAAACTGGGGATTTCGTGGAGTCGAGTTAAGACAATCAATGATAGAAGATTTAAATATATTAATGATCAAGCTCAATAAACCAGAATGATCACTAATTTCGTACAAATATAAAATAACAGAATATCTAGCTTCCATATTGAATATCTCGATATACTTTTGAAAAATGTGTAATGCTTTTTTTCGTTCTGTATCTTCATTACAATAAATCATTACTTTAATAATTGGCTTAAATAAATCTGAATATATTTTTAGTCCCAACACTTTAGAATCTATAGACCGAGGTGAGATGCGGTTTATAACAGTTTCCATGAAAATTAATCCATTCGAGATTATTATGTCTTCCTCTTTGCAAAGCAAAATTTCAAAAAAATATGCGCATGTTTCAAGAATGTAATAAGGACTATAAATTTGTGGTGCTTTTTTCCAATAGTCTTTGTTGGTAAATATGTAACAATAAAAGTTAGCATAGGCCAAATTCGATACGTTATCACTTGATTCGAAAAGCATACTACGTTTATAACTTTCAGTGTATAAATGTCCATCTTGCACTTTGTTGCGGATGATATTTCTACGACGTTTGCTAACAATGTTCAAAAAATATAATATATCTTCAGTCAGATAAAATGACAGTGTTATTATTTTCTCTGAGAATTCTTTATATGTCGCTTCTTCAACAATGTTTTTGTTCCAGTAGTAGAAAGGCTTCTCGCACAGTGAAATGAGAAAGCTCAAAAGATAATCCCCAAACAGTGATCCCTCCTCGAGTTTAGAGTTGATCTTCACTGCTTCTTGCACCAATGGTTCCAAGAAAGATATGATGTCTTTATATACATTCACAATTCTATTGCTATCAGCATCGTGCAATGATGCTAAATCCTCGATGTATGACTTGATGGTATTGATACACCACTCAATAGCCTTGCTCTTGTCCTGCATTTTCATCATACATATACCTAGTGGTTCCAAGATGGTACAGAATTTAATATCGTTATCCGAACATTCTATTTGTTCTAGGAACTCCAGTACAGTTTCCATAGGATTACACCTCTCTGCTATGATGTTTAAGACATTCTTGCAGCATTCAAATAGTTCTTGTCTGGATTGCGAGTCAGATTCCGTAAGATAAGTAGCGGTGACAGACACAATCTCGCTTACAGAGTCCTCGATTACTTCATTGTCCTCCGTCATAAAAAGTTTCAGAGCTTCCTTAGGCTTATGATCCTCCAGAAAATCGGTGAAGCGCTTGATGAATATTTGCGACATTTTTCCGATTACGAAATATATTTTTAAAACATAGATAGCCGGCAAGAAAACACGTACAAATATTGCACACAGGCAAAATTGTTCTCCAAAAAATATTTTTCTCTGTATATGTGCGTATATATTTTATATTTTCAAATATATTGCTTTCTTCTTTCGATTAATTATTAACTATGTTTTTGTTTCTTAGCGATTAAATAGATGAAGTAGATGTATATTTCTTCTCTCTTCATCCTCTGGACACTCTGGAAACACTGGACACGACAAAATACCACGTGGCTTGCAAAACTGTTTTTGTGAGGTTACAAGTCCCTGCACAAGATCAGGGTATGTATATATTCTCATTGCACAGCTGATGCAAGAGAGAGAGAGAGAGAGAGAGAGAAAGAAAGC